AGGGGCCTCGCCCTTCGGGCTTGGGCCCCTAAAAACCGGACAATAAGAATAGGGGCCTCGCCCTTCGGGCTTGGGCCCCTAAAAACCGAACAATAAGAATAGGGGCCACGCCCTACAGGCTTGGGCCCCTAATTAGAGAATTAAAAATATCATCACGAAATGAACAAACCTGAGAGAGGTCCACATGTAGTACCAATATATATAATATCAAAGCAATTGGACTTGCGGTTTTTAACAAGAAGTTGAAAATATCACTTTTTACCAAAAATGACAAAAATATTCACCAAAATTAGAGAATTGAAGATATCATCATGAAATGAACAAATCTGAGAGAGGTCTACCCAAGGTACATATACACCAAGTATCAAAGCATTCAGGCTTGTAGTTTTCAAGAAGAAGTCGAAAAAGTAAAACATTGACACGAACGACGACAGACAATCACTTATACGATATGCTCCGCTCGACAAAATCGACAGCAGAGCTAAAAATGTTTCAAAATGTCCATAAAATGTAGCGATAATAAAGTTCCTTTGCTTCTTTCTTGGGAAAACCAAGACCCGGAACAAAGTGAAGACGGATTTCTCTAAACGATCGTCATTGGCTGTTTTCATTATCTTTCGTTTCAGTCCTGCACTTGAATCCATTTTACTGGAAAAATCCAGCAGCTTTTGTTTTGCCTTGATATTGGATATCGTCGATTTACCGACACCATACTCGGTAGATAGATTGCTTGCGGTTTCACCACGTTCTAGTCAATTTATAATTGACACCTTCGCGTCCAAATCAAGCACACAGCGTTTGCGTTTCACTGGGGTAGCCATACCTAGATAAAAGACGCTGATAAAGTAAACAGGTGAAAGGTCGCTTCGTATTTGCTGTGTATAAATCGGCTCGATGTTACCAGATTGCTCATGGATTTTCGAATGGTAAACTGCTACATGTCACAATTTTATTGGATTCAGCTAAGTTTTTAACACCTAGAACGATTGACATAATAAATTGTTGTAAAAATCCAGGTTGGTTACTGTGATCACCAGACGTAAACACTTTGACGCTGTGAACCATCAAACGGCCCGCCGACTGTGGTCATTGGTTGCCGTTGTCTGCTGATAAACCATCAAAGAGGCACACCAAGGTTTTGTCGTTTCGTCACTTTTTCACTGCACTATTAAACTGGCGTCGCTTCTGTGGCAAGACATCCCAGAAGTTATTTTCTTTCTTTTTTTATTCCGAAAAGGATGTTACGTCTGATACTAGACATTAAAATTAAAAATCGGAAAAAACATGGGATCGGCTTATGGCCGCGTTACTTTGACGGCAGTGGAACCCCGTACAATTTTGCGGTGACTTACAACTTGGTAAAGTTAAGGATCTGACTGTAAACAGTGGAGAAGACATTTGATGAAGTTTGTGTTTTTAGGAAATTGTTTATTTTACAGGGGAACACTGGTGTTGCATAATAGGTAATTCGTGTCATTGTTTGCGCAGACACTGTAAACAATGAACGTACACGTGAAAGACGTCGGATTACATGTTGACAATAGCTTTATTGAAAGTGTTGCACCAGGAAATCACACAAGACGACTGTAGTATTTATTGTTCACAGTTGACTTTTGTATTATACGGAACACAGCCAGACCTGCATACAAACTTTGGGGGACACACAGTAGGTTCGGATAACCGAACATTTCGAATAATCGATGTCCGGATAATCGACGTTCTACTGTACATATATATGTAATATTGAAGCAATTGGACTTTTTAACAATAAGTCGAAAATATCACTTTTTACCAAAAATGACAAAAATATTCACCAAAATTAGGAAATTGAAAATATCATCATGAAATGAACAAACCTAAGAAAGGTCCACCCAAGGTACATATACATCAAGTATCAAAGCATTCAGGGTTGTAGTTTTCAAGAAAAAGTCGAAAAAGTAAAACATTGACATGGACGACGGACAATCACTAATATAATAAGCTCCGCTCGACAAAGTCAACAGCGGAGCTAAAAAACAAAATGGCTGCCATTCAGCTATCTTGGATTGAATCAGTAAACCACTGCATGTGCATATGTCCCAGATAAAGTACTAGACACATGCAAAGAATGAACAGATTTGGTCCACATGGTTCTAAAACCTGACTCCGAACGGACGGTTGGAAACCGAATCATAAGTTTCTTTTTCAAACTTCGTTTGATCGGAGACTAATAAGTAATGGATGGATGGATACAAACTAATGAGGCACAATCTTGAAAAATTTACATAATTATTTTTATATCCAAGAAATATTTTCCTTTTTCCAATATATGGGGTATAACTACATAAATCAAGTATGCAAAACGATAGAAAACTAAACACTGTCTTACCTCCAAAATTTCCTTTTCCTATTTTTCTGCCAAGTTTTAATTCTGTTTTAGAAATAGCCCATCCGGCTAAAAAAAAAAAGAGACAAAAAATATTATGAGGATACCACAAAGTATGTACAAGGGCAGTACAGTGATTGTATCAGCGAACACGTGGCTGAGATTGATACATTCCTGTACTTCCTGAGTGCATACTTGTAATAATGTTTTGAATAAAATGTATTAAAGGTTGATTTTTTAGCAACAAAACATTTCTGCATCCTACCATATGTGGTGCACTAGTACACAAAACAAACATGTACGATGACAAAAAGCAAAAGCTACTTTTTTTTTTTTGCCTAAGTTTATTAAAATACAGTATTGCCATACCATCTTCAAAAGCCTTGGAATCCACAGAAAACTCCATTCCTCCTTGTTTTGGAAGAGGCTTGATTAAAGATGTCACTAAACCATCAGCATCACCTTCATAATGCTGCCAAAAAGAAAACAAAAATTGGGTTCTAAAACAGTGAAATATGAAGTGGAATCCAAAATGCAGCAATCCTACCAAAAGTAGCAAGTTGAGAATACCGATCTGAATGTGAATCCGATCTGAATGTGAATCCGATCTGATTGTGAATCCGATCTGATTGTGAATACTGATCTGATTGTGAATACTGATCTGAATGTAAATCCAATCTGATTGTGAATACTGATCTGAATGTAAATCCAATCTGATTGTGAATACTGATCTGATTATGAGTACTGATCTGATTGTGAGTACTGATCTGATTGTGAGTACTGATCTGATTGTGAATACTGATCTGATTGTGAATACTGATCTGATTGTGAATACTGATCTGATTGTGAATACTGATCTGAATGTGAATACTGATCTAATTGTGAATACTGATCTGAATGTAAATCCAATCTGATTGTGAATACCTATCTGATTGTGAATACTGATCTGATTGTGAATACTGATCTGATTGTGAATACTGATCTGATTGTGAATACCTATCTGATTGTGAATACCTATCTGATTGTGAATACTGATCTGATTGTGAATACTGATCTGAATGTGAATACTGATCTGAATGTGAATACTGATCTGAATGTGAATACTGATCTGATTGTGAATACTGATCTGAATGTAAATCCAATCTGATTGTGAATACCTATCTGATTGTGAATACTGATCTGATTGTGAATACTGATCTGATTGTGAATACTGATCTGATTGTGAATACTGATCTGATTGTGAATACTGATCTGAATGTAAATCCAATCTGATTGTGAATACTGATCTGATTGTGAA